CATTCACACACGTGAAACCGACCGAAATGACAACACACAAGTTCCACACTGAAAATCCGATTGTTCAAAAACAATACTTTCCACATTTTTACTTACAACGAAGCTCATTCTATAAACAAAGTCAAGCTCAAAACCAAACAAACCTTCTAACAATATTAAATATTTGTATTTTGTTCCACTCTAGCTTACTAGAGAACAGTACGTTTGGCTGTATTCGATGCACTCATTCGTATTAGCTTCGGTTAAAAAAAACAAGTCTACTAGTGATAACAGCCACGCACAACTTTTCGATTGATTGAACAACAAACTAAACACCTTTCGTGGTGACGGTGGGGCTAAACAACAAATAGCCAGTGTGATTGAATCTCTAGTGTGCGTGCCTCATCACGGTCAATTGGTATGCCATTTTCTAAGCACATGCCCCTGCTTTGCCGGCTGACTGTTGTTGACATTTGAGCAAAACAATCGGAAAATGATATCCGGGTGAATGAGTGTGACTGAGTAGAGGACAACCGCATCGTATTGGGATCCCTCTCTCCCGCTCTTAAATTTAACCATTAAGACCTTGAAAAAAGTATTGAAACATTTCAAACACAAACGTTCAAACCGCTCAAGGCGAGTCGTCTAGGCCAATCTATTCAATTACAGGGATCCGTTGCGAGCATGTCAACGTTCCAAGATTATTCACAGTAGAAGCGATAGTAACTATACTGAACAACCTTTCCCGCGTCCACTACGCGCAAAAACGCACTGCGTGATCCTCCATTCTCCCCTGGGAACGCATCCTCAAATGGACCCATCTAGGATACCAGTGGAAAATTCTAACCCCACGAATTTAATTATCACTAATTATGCTATCAGTGTTTGAATATTCATTTTTCAACCCTCCCAAAAACTCGTTTTGCAAACAGTATCTACACCTTTTCCCATCAAACTTTGGTCAAAACTGGCAGTCCTTTAGCCTTGATCCACAATTCTTTAGCCTAGACGTACAAACTTTGATGGCTGTAGGCGAGTCAGATCAAAAAGTATCGGAATATTCCCAGGCCAACGAATGTGTAAAAATTTTATTTTCTACCAATATTGACGTTCCCAAGCTTGGTTAAGAAATGAGAAGGTATGGGTGGCGGTCGCGTGCTGCACCACAATGGGTTGGAAAAGGTTTAACCGATGTGCCCGTATCGTCAAACCATTTGACACATCTCGCACGGCTTGTGTTTACGTATAATATGCGCTACTCTTGCCAGTAAAAATTTCAAATGTAACACAAACGGTACATTGTTTTACATTCACAAGCCCCGAAGCAAATCACGAAGCGATACCATAAAAATGTAAATGCTTACCGTCCCGTATCTCCACTTAAAGTGAATTTCGTCCTTGAGATGTGCTTACATTATTAGGCCGAAGATAATAAACACCGTTCACAAAAGACACCCTATTTATTACACCTTTTACTATCAAGCTTCAGACGAAACCCGTAATTTTATAGCCACTACCGTGGTAATTATGTCAAATGTTACAGCGTTAACAAACTGATGTTAGTAATGGGGGTGTATTTGTGCTAAAGCATTGCGGGTTTTAATTAAAGGGTCACGGGTCGAGGCTAAAGGACTGCCAGTTTGGGCTAAAAGCTTTCCTGACTTACATACTGATGAAGCACCCAAAGGCGAACCTGTTCGCCTCATGGGTGTTCCTATGATCGAAGTTTCTCAATCAGTACAGTACAGCTGATTATTTTGATCCCATGTGTGGGGAGTTGTTGTTCGGATAAGGAAATCCGGCCATTCNGGGGAGAAACTATGCCGGAGATGAGTGAATGCATTAGCAGTGGTTGTAGACAAGTGTTATATCCAAGACTCACTGACATTCCGTGATAACATGTTTCTAAAGGTACGAGATTGGCGAAACAGTGAACCGACAGACACAATGGGTAATTAGGGAACGATAGTAAAACTCTAACGGAATCAGAGTACCCAAGGACAGTTCAAAACAAGGGGGGTCAGAGGGAAATGAAAACAATGAAACACGAACAAAGGTGGCATTATGATAGCAAATAACTGACAAAAGAACAATGCATAACGCGGAGCGACAAACAGATAAAGTGCATGTACACATACACACACACAGAGAGAGAGAGAGAGAGAGAGAGAAATTACATAATAACCAAGGTGTAACAAAAGGCATTAACAACGAGTCAAAAGGAACGAACGTGGACAAGCGGGGAGGCGAGTGTGCAAATGAAATTAGGTTAGAGTCAGAAGATCGGGCGGAGAAAACAGAGAGATGGAAAGAGGGAGAGGGACAACAATAGAAGTTAGAACACAAAGGGTACTATGGCCTTCCGATTGCGAGGAAAATCGGGGAACTCTCTACGATAGGCACGAAGTCGAGCCTTGGCCCAAACAGACATTTGGATGAATCCAACGGTAGTGAACATTGCGGCTAAATGTGAGGAAAAGAGAAACAGATAGCAAAAATGACGTGTGGGGGTGATCGATCGAACAATGGGAGACATTGGAGAAAAGTAGTCAACGATGAAAATGTAGTATCAGACCCGTCGTTCAGAATGAAACCAGGGGCCAAATTTTGAATGAAAATCCTGGTCACAATGAATTCCCCGGACAAAAATGGCTGTAATTTGTTGGGCTTTAGGCCACTTCTTACTTGCCAAATAATCGACTGCATAAAATGCTACTCACTAATTCAAAAGATTCGTTCGACGAAATCGGTTTTGTAACTGCTCGCTTTCACAACGAACAGTTTTTAACTTCAAATCTGCTGTTGCTTTCCCATCGCCGGGGATTGCTTCGTTGTCTCTCTTCTATTATCTTGGTTCCTGCTCTTCGGAACTCACTTTAGAGATCTCCCCTCTTGATCATTTCCTGTTCATCCCGTTCTCAGGCACGCAGTCTCTATTATCAGGTTTTTGTCACCTTACGCTAGGTTTCTATCTTCCAGTCCTCCTTTTCCCCAGTACTGTGGAACAATCTTCTCATTGCCGTATTTCCAAACACTTACCGTCCCACGGTTTTAGAAGGCAATATTAACAAACCGAATCTCACCCCCTCCCCCTAATAGCTCCCCTCCTGCAGTATGTCTTTGACTATGAAGTTCACTCTTTTTGAAGCAAAAATCACTCTGTATATATCGAGAGAAAAAAACGGAGTGGAGTGCGTGAACATGATATGGTTGCTCAGAAAAAACTGCATTCATTCACGGAAAATGTTAAAGCATCAGCAGCACTGGGGCACAAAAACGAATTCACTGGCCGGCAGCTTTTCCGTCAGCGTACTCTCAATATCACGCTCGGAACCAAACCACCCAGAGAGCTTCATGTGGTTTGCTGCTCCAGAGCTTCGACTGCCACATTGCATTTCTGAACAAGCAGGTACTTGCGATCATCTACGAGTTTCATTTATTCCCCTGTTAACTCCGTAGTTCAGCTTGTAATAGTTGTTTCTGGTTCACCACAACTCCACCCCCAAGTTGAGTGCATTGGAGAGTGTGATTGTTGGGAGCCAGCTTCTGCATATTTTTCCGCCACAGTGAACGCAAGCCGGTTATGATCTCGTAATCTGAAGCACATGCTTAGTAGTAAGAATCGCCAGCAACCCAAGTTTTGATATGGAAGCCACGAAAATAAGTCACCTCAAAGTTGATTGGCAGCGAACGGGAGCAAAACCACTGTCCTGTGGACTTGAATCAGTCCAGTGGACCACGATGGCTCTCTACTGCAGCCGGTCATCGACCAGCTGACGGTATCTGATTCTCAGTCACTGAGATCGACTCGGTGAACACAACATAACCGAGAAAGAAAATTGTCTACCGGAGAGATTGATTTGATGAATGTGATATGCAGCACAACCAGTAGCAATGATGCGCACCTTTCGTGATGAAAGATTTCACGTGCTAAGAACGGAATTCGGTAGTTTCCACAAATTGACCACCTATGCAAAGACACTGGGGAGTCACTTTAAAAAGACAGTGTGTGTGTGTGTGTGTGTGTGTGTGTGTGTATTCTTCGCACACAGAGAAACCATGTGCATGGAGAACATCGAATCCTGTGCAGAAAATGCACACCACGTCAGGGGTGACGTGTGTTGACAAAAGCGTCCATGTGTGAATGATTTTCACAAATCTAGTTATCAGTCTCAGCATGAGAAAAATTGTGGTTCGCATTCTTAAATGGGGTATTTTGTGTACAGTACTTCATAACCTGGAAATTATGTTTATGCATAGTATAACCATCTGACAGCTGATTTTATTCACATAGCGACACAGTATGGTGTGTGTGTGTGTGTGTGCACATGCGCACACGACGATAGACAATACACGAAATCACGCGTGTTTCAACGTGCACACTCGACGCCAGATGCCTGTGGCACCTTACTTGGTAAGTGCCGTCTAGGGCACAACCACTTGCCCGCATCCATTGGTGAGTTGTCAGACTACAATCATACAGAAAAACTGCACTAAGCACCGATGATCGATATTTGTGTCTAAAACTCAAATCAGATTTGAAATGGTGTGAGCCGAGAGAGAGAGAGAGGTGCGTGATTCGTTCGAGTTATTGTGCGCGTTTTAAAACAGCACAGTAAGACGCGCCCGTTGCTCATTGGACTGTAGCAAAAAAGCATCTATTTCGCCACGGTACATGTGCATCAGTCTATCATGAAGCCGGTAAGCGGTCGAATTCGACGCAACGGTGTTAACAGTCAATCGTTCTTTAGAAATCGCAAAGGCTCGGTAGCTTAGTTGTTGTATATCAGTGTCGACAGCACTGCTGTTCCAATGTATGCATCCTCACTCAGGCAGATTCACTTGTGCTGTATCTATTTATCCCACCAAATTTATTCGTCCTGTAGATAATGAAACATTTGTCACACCTAACCGTAATCCTAATGCAAACAATAAATTGCATCCTTCTACTCTCCACTATCTTGGTCTTATTTTGATGAAGTACTATAGCTGGACATCTTAAACGGGTTGTAAAACCAGTGGACAGCACCGGAATACGTGCGGAGAAAATGAAAGACAATGTGGGGTGGCCTGCGGAGAGCGATAAGCCTGACTAACGAGAATCAAACAAGTATGGAGGAAGACCAACAATAAGAAAGCCAAAATTGTGCATAGGGGAGCGTCATGATATGTGGCTTGTGACCAAATAGGGCCATCACGATCAGCATCATCACTCGAATTGATTTACAAGTAGCACTTGATTAGACAAAACTTACAGGCACACCTGTAGAGAGAGAGAGGAATGCTCAGCCGTACAGGGGAGACCGCTTAGTACCAGACTTTCGACGACTTGTCACGGATTCCTCTATGAATCCGACTACTCACCCCCACCCCCGCACTTCCGAGGTCAAATAACAGTAAAGAGTAAAAGTAACGCAAGTAAAAACTGAAAATAAGAGATGTTGGGTTAACCATTACTCTCACCTTTTCTCTCGCGCGCTTGATGTCCCCGGACAACACACTAGCACAGTGGTAAGTCACAAAGGGCTTAACAGGTTCTCAACCAAAAAGGTCACTCAGTTGGATGTGTATTTTACGTAAAGGCATTGCTTAGACTCGAAGAACATGCTGATTTGATGTGAAGAGTGCAAACAGCCCTAGTGCATTAGAACAATGAATTGCCACTCTGAAGAGAACTTAGATACCGCTAACTAGTATAAATCGGGGAGAGCCGATAGGACGAAACAGATAACTCGAACAAGCGCTTTCTGACAGGTCAACAGGTTAAGTAAAATTGGAAGATCATTCAAGTGATTCACGGTGGGGACAGATTCAATGAATAAGACGAGTCGTGAACGATCCGAAGCGAAATCTGAGAACGAGGGACAACTTCGCTTGGTAGTCTTCTGGTATCGAGTCAAAAAACGATACGCAAGCAATCGTATGGCTCTAACCTAATGGTTTGATGCACTCAAAAAGTCTTCATTTGAACAGTTTCACTCATTTTGGACAGAAATATTCCTGCTCATTCTCTTCCTTCGAAGAGACCTCAATCTTACAACCGCCGAATTTCCGACTACCTTTCCAATATCGCCGCGGTCCGAAACCAGCGTTTGAGTCTACAATTACCAATCAATCACTAGCAGTGGCATCCTCCATCCTCCAGATAGTTTGATCTTGTCCGCACAATTTTTTCCTGCTGCTTTTTGGGTGACAAATCGTGACCCCTACTTTCTCTACCCACGATTTCCAGTCGGTAAATACGCTGAGAAATTGAAGAAAAGAATTTGTGTGTGAAGAGCACAGAGTTGTCCCGTCCTTGATAGGATTCGTCAGCGGTATAGGCACTATTTTTTGTGTCCATCGGGTGCCATCGAGTGTTGTTTTCAGGTTGGAAGCCTCCTAACCGCTGGGCAAAACACAGATCCTCCAAGCTGCCTGGTGGCCGAGTGGGTAGCTCGCTTGCGTTCTGCCCATGAGGTTCCGGGTTCCATCCCCAGTTGGGTCGACGGACTGGCGTACTGCTGGTGAGACTCAACCTGATCGAAACAGCTGTCCAGGGNCTGGCGTAATTTAGACCCTGTGGTCCGAGGCTCGATCCCCGCCATCACCATCTAACTTTGGTGGTAGACAGCTTTGCTGTCGTCCGGTTCAATACCACGCCTAACCTAGAGGGGCCTTATGTGGTTCACCACTCCAAGTCCCGAGGTTTAAGTTACTGGTTTCCATGACGGAGTAGCAGGTTTTCGTGATTATGTGGTTGGCCCCGTTTGCTGTTCACCACACAAATGTGCGTAATAAAAACAACTGTGAAGTCGAATGGGAGTGGAACGAGAACACCTGTATCATTATGCGATTTTTCACTCGCACCACCTCTTCCCACATCGATCTCATTGCCCTTTTTAAAGGCCCATCGAACAACTCTGTGAGAATATAATTTCCCAATCCACCTCCGTAACCTCGTTTAAAACCACCTCCTCCTCCCCACCCACTCAGCTTCAAGCGTATAGACTGTCGTTAATGTTCCGGCTAGAAGATGGGCAAAATTACCGAAGATTTGTTTGGAATCTAGACATCTAGACATGACCAGAACGGAAAAAATACCAAGAATGCTATTATTATAGATTGGCGTACTGGAACCTTATATCAACCAGTGAACTTTGCCCCCACGTTAACCATTCGCGAGGACTGGATTCACTCTCAATTTTCAACGATAACTGGATCTACTAGGAACACGATGTATTACAAAAAGCACAGCACGAATCGATAAAAATGGAACGCATGTGAAATGCTCACGCACGCACACAGCCTGCATGCAAGGACGATCAGGACGAGTTTCAAGAGAAACCTACCGGGAAGTACTTGCGTCATGACGGAGAAGCCGACCCAAGCGAGAGATTCGAACATGTAGTGCGGGCATGCCACCAATTTGAACATACGAGTGAAAAAGTATCCGGGCATGGGTTCTGGGATACGGCGAACGGTAGAATTTGCAGGTCGAAGGTTTTTCAACGTCAGATGACACGTGAAATTGCCCCATTCACTCATCTGAATTATAATAATTATAATAATAAAACTTCAAATTCAGAGTGCAATCAAATAAAAAGGACCAAAACTTATTTGCAGTAAAATGCACTTATTTTCGAACCCTCACAAATGTCCATTTCACTTGTTATTATTCAAGAAGTCAATTAGGCATCAAGCTCGTTTTTGGTGCATCATTTGCTAGTCAATACAGCACTCTTTTATAGGTCATAAAATCACATCATTCAACGAAGCAGAAAAAAACGTAGACAATGTCTGTGTTTGTATACGTGTGTAGGGATACCATGGATAATAAAGCAAGGAGTGTATGAGAGGTCAAATGATCCTACAAATTTCATTTGTACTGTCGAACGAATCAAATACATAGTGAACGATTTGAC